ATGTAATAAACGAGGGTAGTTTTCTGAGATTACTTTGTAGTAATGTAGCAAAAGTAGAATAAAAAGGAATAACAATAAGTTACTTCACAGGTAGGTAGATGGTATTTGAAAAGGAATAAATTTCATGAAACTTACCGAGGATAGATCGAGACCTAGCACATCCTTCAGAAACATCGGTAACGAAACAAGCATGGTGTAAGCTCCCCAATCGCCAGCAAAGTGACCAAACCAGCAAGCCCAAACGGCTCTCGATGTCAGAATTTTACCCCATGGTGTGGCAGGCGGCTAAAAAAGTAGAGGACGTGTACCTCAGAACGATATGAAAATTTAACCAACCTTGCCAGTATGTTTTCCCACACTTTCTTCAACAGCCTTTGTAATGTATTGCTTTTCAGCCTCAGAGATTCGAGGGTGATTTATAGGTCTATCAGAAGACACGTACATCCAAATAGCACACCATACCACTCCCATGAGCCCTTGAAAAACAGATCATCAGGTGAAAAAAACTTGAGGGAACACCTGACGTCTTCACTTGAAAAAGTGGAACTTACCCAAGATATAGAAGATGCTCGGCCAACCGCCATCAAAACCATACTGACAAAGGAAACCCGAAAATGGCAACACAAACACATTTCCAATTTGAGCTCCTAGATAATTCATGGATCACTACTGACAAGAGAAAAGGACTCACAGTATGTTTACCTGCGTAAGTTACACCAGTAAGGATGGAGAGTTCAAGAGGAGGACCCCAAACCGACCACATGGTATGCATTGCAGGGAATGTAGCACCCTACAAGAGGTAACAAAAATACCTGAAATTCAAGCGAAGACGCAAAAAATACGACTTACCTGCAGAAAACCGATGGCAACGCGGAGAGCCACCAAAACATAAGGACTCGTACGAGCTGCTACAGGACTAGCTAGTGTAAGTAGAGATGAGCCCAATATACAAGTAAGAACTACTCGTTTGCCTCCAAATCGTGAAGCCATATAACCACCAAGAACCTAAAGCTTTGTAAACCTTTCATTTCTGAGCTAGGCCCATGCATGAAGGGCAAATAAACAAAAGGATGGACCCACTTGACTTCCAAGATAACCCCAGAAGAAGGCTCCAAGAATTTGTCCTTGCACAGCTTTGCTCCAGTCGAATTCGCCCACTATTTCCTAGAGATAAAGAAGCTTTGACAGATTACAAGCGTAAAAATACAGACATTGACTCTTATGATTATGACTACCCTAAAATCTCATAGATAAGTCCTCCCATCAGACA